CTTCCCGAGAGCGTGAAGCAAACTCCTTCTCCCTTTTATTAATTGACTGTGAATTCTGCTCATTCACATCCAGCAAAGTCTTTCAAAGGAGGATTTACAGTCACAGACCTTATCTGGCTTGGAGAGCTGCCAGGCCGATCTCTGCAGAACTTGGCAAGGAGTCTTGGAGACTCACGAACCAATTAAGCGAACTAATTGTCTCCTGCAAACTCCACTCCCCTTTTGCTCCTCTTTTATTTCCTCGGGGGGGGGGCATTCATTGTCCACCTATGGCCTTACTCCTAAGTCAATCCCTGTTCTTTAGCTGTTCCCTTCATCTGGCAATTCTGCGTATGCGCACACTGGGAACAGGCTCCAGCTGTTCCTCTGCCTCACTGATGTCTGACTCTGAAGGCATCTGATAACTGGCATACGGCTCTGGCCCCCTCTCTGCCTCCGACACGGAGCCCTCATCAGAGCCTTCCCCAGACTCCAGGACTGGCCCATGTTCCTCCCCAACTTCCTCACTGTCGGACTCTGCTGTCAGCTCTGCTGGCGGGTCACAACACCCTGGCCGTTTGTCTAGGCAGAGGACACTCACCTTTCACTGGCTGAAAAGAATTCCAACCAGAGAAGGCCCTGTCTTCTCCACCCACACCCAGCACCCCTATAGGCATTGCACCCCGATACTCACTAAAACTAACAGAACTGCCGGGACTTCCATCCTTGTTGGGTTGCGTCAGAAGGAGGGTACCAGCGCATCTAGAAGAGAATGATAAGATGTGATGTGGGAGGAGTAAGGTGGTCAACCAAGGTCAGGCAGAAAACACTCTGCCTAGGATACATTTGTCCCCAAGGCTCAATGGGGCTGAAGGTTCTCCAAAAGAGGAACTATCCACTTGTTGCTTTCACATGACCAAGAGTTTTTTCAGACTCCAGAAGGTCTCCTTGCCCCTAACCTCGTAATGAATTTCTTCACACCTCCAAGGGTAGACTAGCTGTAAGGAGAACATTCCTAAGGCCTCGAAATCACCTTTGAGGTGATTCCAAAGTTGAAAACAGGGCAGCTGTATCATACTGGGTCATCCAGGGTGGCTCTAGTCTTCTACTCCCAGCTCCCCCTTATTACATCCTATTCATACTCTTCATCACCCCCATTATTCCACATGTAGGCTAGTCAAGGTTCCCCTCGCACATATGTGCTAGTCATTCTCGACTCTAGGGGGGGCAATGCTCATCTCCGTTTCAAAGCCAAAGAGCCAGCGCTATCCGAAGACATCTCTGTGGTCATGTGGCCGGCACAACTCAATGCCAAAGGTGCACGGGACGCTGTTCCCTTCCCACCAAAGGTGGTTCCTATTTTTCTACTTGCATTTGTTACGTGCTTTCGAACTGCTAGGTTGGCAGAAGCTGGGAGAAGGAACGGGAGCTCACTCCGTTACGCGGTGCTAGGGATTCGAACCGCTGAGTTGCTGACCTTCTGATTGACAAGCTCAGTGTCTTAGCCACTGAGCCATGCGTCACCGTTTATCAGCTCTCTTTTTCTGCACCGCCTCCTCCTAGTTTTAACCACGCTAGGTCTAAATCCCCGCCCCTTCCTCATAAGCCCATCTGCAGGAAAACACATTGAATCCTGCATATTGTGAAAGGAAGAGAGCTAATGCAGCAGGATCACCAGTGTAGCAAGCAAGAATTTAAGAGTTTTAAGTGGTCCTTAAGAAGGAACCAGCGAATGTGACTAGGCTGGCCACTTTCGTGTCACTTGGGCCTAAGTAAAAGGTGAATTCAGCTTTCCTAGGTAGTAGCCAGACAGGAAACACAACCAAATGAGCTAATCCCATTTCATTGTAAGGCTACAATAAAAGCATCTCGCATTTCTGAAAGTACAAATCTCCCACCGTCTCCTTTACAAACTGAGAAACTAGGGAGAGTTTCTTCTTAGTCTCTTTCTCCACCCATTATCCATTTGAGGGCTAAGCTGTCTCTTATCAGACCATTCCTTGGGCAGCATTTCCTCACCTGCCTCTCAAAAGTCTTCTCACATTCTATTCCAGGCACAAAGAAAGGGTGATTTTTTTTTAAAGAGAAGTTCTTTATTATCATATCCCTGAATCTCCTTTCTCTCCCAATTCTTCGCACTACTTTGCTATTATTTCTTTTCTTTTCTTTTTTCCCCTACAAGCATCTGCATCTATGCTTCTCTGGTCCTTGTGCACAGCTGTTCCTTATTTTTCCTCTATTTTCCCACAATTATCAGTTCACAATCACATGCGTTTTCCTGAGATTTATGGGCATTTGGGGAGGGGGAAAAATTAACAGGTATAACAGGACGGCTACAATGACAACACTTCCTTTGTCCTCTTCTGCTCTCTGCTTCAGCCCAGCCAACGTGGTTTGCTCAATAACACAATCTCAGGCTCACAGCTGCAAGGACTTTGCAGGCTGCCTATCTGAACGCTTTGCTTCCTATAGGAAGATCAAAGCATCCCCCACAAGCCTTCTGGACTATGTTCAAAGAGCTTCAAGCCCCTCAGTTTCCAAGCAACTGGCCCCATCCTTGACTTGTTCCACTGTATAAAAGTTTCTCCTAAAAGTTCAACCAAAGTCTATCTTGCTGGAACATAACATCATTCCAATCGAATGGCTCTTTGTGGAAGATCTTCAGAGTTTTGGAGTTCGTGTTGCTTGCTAAGTCGGCTGCTGTCCTTATTCTACCTTTGGGTAGAAAGTGCCGATTTGAAGCTTTGATTCCCTACCCCAATTTAAAAGGTGCCTTTCTGTGTCCAGGATTATCCAGAAACAGAGGTTAAAGGATGAACTGGATTGCATCCAATCCGCTCCAAGAAAAGAACTCAGCACTCATATCATTCACGAGGACAAAAGCATCATTCCAACATCTTGCAGAATTTGGGAACTCAAGGTAAAGGTTCCCCTTGCACAGATGTGCTAGTCGTTCCCGACTCTAAGGGGCAGTGCTCATCTCCGCTTCAAAGCCGAAGAGCCAGCGCTGTCCGACGACGTCTCCTAAACGCCAAAGGCGCGTGGAGCACTGTTCCCTTCCCACCAAAGGTGGTTCCTATTTTTCTACTTGCATTTTTTACGTTCTTTCGAACTGCTAGGTTGGCAGAAGCTGGGACAAGCAACGGGAGCTCACTCCGTTACAAGGCGCTAGGGTTTCGAACCACCGAACTGCCGACTTTTCTGATCGACAAGCTTAGCGTCTTAGCTACTGAGCCACTTCCCTCCCCTGGGAATTCTAAGCCCTTGTGAATTCCATTACATTTGCTTCCATTTTTAATTCAGTTCTTACTGAATTAAGAAGGGAACACTGCTCCTAGTGTAGGCTGGGGTTTGAGGAGATGGCATGTCCTCAACTTGTTTTTAATAGCTCTTCATAGTTCTTAAAACCCTAAATGAACTTTAGTTTGAGCATGTTAACACACGTGACCCGTCAAAACCGCGCCCGACTAAACCGCGTCGCTGACATCATCAACAGGGCGACAACAGCCAGCGC